ACAGCAGTCCCTTCTAAAGTCCATTTTATTGTGATGGTAAAACGATACAATGTGTACAAAACCTTTTAATCAAAGTCACACCTCCATAGGGACTATATTAAAAGATGTCACACTATCTCATGCCACATTATGATCGTTCAAGGAGCTGGTCCTGGTACTGGTGGTGCCCAGCTTTAATCACAGCACTTGGGAGGCAGGGGCAGGCATCTGCATCTGTTGAGTTCAAGGTCAGCCTGGTCTAAATAGTAGTTCCAAGCTAACCAAGGGTACAAAGTGAGAAACACTGTTTCAGTGCTCGTTTCCAATTTTCTTCCCCAAAAGATATCAAGTTCACTTGTTTTGTACAATTTCAGAAAGAAGGAAATACTAGCGCCCTTAAAATCAGGTACAAACAGGGTTCCTATTCAAATATTGATAAGATTGCTTAGCAGTCATACACTGAGGTAAGCAGATGTTATGAGAATACTATCACAGTTTTCTGAATGAAGAAACACACATGTATGGCACAGAATTGAGAAAGGCTAAGGCCCTGGTGCTTCTGTTATTTACCATCACACCTTCCTGTTGGGTGCAATCAAATACATGAGGAATTGCATTGAATCACACACCACACACAAAATCACACGTCTAATTTCATTTACTGGCTAGTTTTATGTCAGCCTGACACAAGCCAGAGTCTTTTAAGAAGAGGGAACCAGTCCTTGGGGCATTTTCTTGATTGGTGATATGGGAGAGCTTGGTATTGACACTGCTCCTGGGTTACATAAGAAAACAAAGTGGGGGGGAGTAGGCAGCTCTCCTCCAAGACCTCTGCCCCATATTCCTGCCCTGGCTTCCCAGGATGATGGACTACAAACTCCAAGACGAAATAAACCCCACCACCTGCATTGCTTTGGATTGTTGTTTTGTCAAAGCAATACAAATCCTAGCTAAGATGCTTCACGAAGGGTCTTTCATCAGGAATGATCTCCAGGTTTCTGGAGCCATGGTCCATTTGTGTAGATGACACTTGACAGATCTGAGAAGAGTGGGATGTCAGAACCACTGGGTAAAATCCAGGAAGCTCAGAGTTTATCTTAGAAGAGAAGGGACCAGTGGGTAGCATACACAGCTGTAGTGCTACAAGGCTGTCAGAATTCATGGGATCAATAACACAAGTGTACATCTTACCACATGTAAGCTAGATTCAATGACCCTACCTACACAAGGAAAGGAAATGCTTTATAAAAACACAACAAAATGATTTGGGGATTGCAATAAAATTACTAAGTCCTATTAAAGTAGAAGAGACAGAGTGACTGCCAGACAACTTGTAACTCCATTATAAGCCATTGCCATGGCAACGATTGACAAGAGCCATTAAAAGGTGTGGAGACACATCTGCAATGCTAGCCAAGAAGGTCTGTGTGAGTTAGAAGCCAGCCTGAGCTACACAGTAGTTTCTACAACAGCCTGGAACATAGTTTAAGACATCTCAAACACACACCCCCAAATATTTGTAAAAACAGTCTAAGAAAAGATGTATTGTATCTGAGACGATCCCTCACCATCATTTCTTGTTTTGGTTTCTTTGAGGCTGGGTCTTGCTGTTCTTGCTACATAGCCCTAGCTGACCTAGAACTTGCTACACAGCCCAGGCTATGCTATGACTTGCAGCCACTTTCTTGCGTCAGCCTCCTGACTGGTGACCTTACAAGCACAAACCACCACATCAGCTTCTTTTAATCACGACACAGATTTAAAGGACATGAAGTAGCATTGAATTTTCTCTCACAATTCCTATTCCTAACCAAGAATTTAAGTCTTCATCACTTACTAAGAAAACAATGACAAAAGATGTATACTGAAGGAACCAGGTTTGCGTATTTTCTTGTGCTACTTCAGGGGAAGTTATACTTTCAAGACGTTAGAAACAGTGTTTGAGGCTTCTGTGCAAGGTGAACACAGCAGTGGAAAGCAGGGCATCGTTGAAGACAGGGCCAAGTCTGCTAGGCTGTCTGGAAGAAGGTATGCTAGCAATGGATCTGTGGCAAAGAAAGGTTACTCTGAACATAAGACTACCTAGTCACCTAATGCATACCTAACTACTTATCCACTTAGGTTCACACTGGGATGGTCCTAAACAGTGGGCAGAGGCACCCATGAAGATTCAAGGGGGAACTGAGCTACTAGAGGAGTGCTCATGATTTCATGGTAGTGGCTGCAGTGGCAACAATGGGACGGATACTTTTAATCTCTAATGCAGACACAAACGAGGTGGAGAAGCCCTCATTTCAGGACCAGTCAGCATAACTCTGGAAAAACATGTTTAGAGGCATTACTTTTAAAAACTGCTGTGTGGTGTGGGCATCAATAGGGACAGTGTAAATCCCTGTTCCCAAGGCTTTGGGACACAGGACTCTAGAAAAACAGGAGGGAAGGTGTGCAGCAATGCAGAATCTGGTCTGTGCCTTGGCCCCAGCAGTGAAATCCTCCAGTGACATGTTAAATTCTGAGGAAGTCAAGCAAAGGTAACAACAGGTAAGAAATCCATCCTTAGGGCTGTTGCTGACCCTCTCTAGTCAAGCTGACTTATTTTTATTTCTCTGAGTGTGTATTATGTTTTTCTCATAGCTGAAATTAAGAAAGTGTTACTGAATTGTTCATTACAATATTCTCCTTGTATGCAAGTCCAAATCAAAAGAGCACAAATAGCAACTTATTAATGTCTTCCAAACACACACTCTTCAAAGAAAATGAGCCTTCCACTTCGCAGTGTATGGAATCTGAAAACCCAACACCTGTCTCCGGTGAACAGGATATGTAAGCTTCTGGAGACTGATCACAGGCTCTGCTGCTGCAGCCACCCTTTTGGCAACGCTGGGGATGGTGTGTGGTCACTATAACCAGTTTACGCTTTTACACCATGAAGTGTTAAATCTCTGTGGGACCTGAACCAGAGAGTCACACATAAAAACCCAAACTCCAAAATGACTGACAGCCTCAGTTAAAGAGTGGCTGCTACAACAAAAAGGACAAAGTCAGAGAAAGCAGGCTTCCACCAGTCCTCACAGCTCAGGAAAGGTTTCACACTACCCAGTCTAAGTTTACTTAAGGACATCCAACCCATGCTTTGTTACCTAGGACATGTGACAATGTCAACATAATTGTTTCAGATGGACTTACATCAATCTATAACCAGAAAAATTTACCTGAAAATGAATTTGCAAATTTATAAACATTACAGAGAAACTACAATATGAGCAAAACTTAAAAGTATAAAACTTCAAATAATCGTTTGATTAAAATCATTATTGTCTTAAAAGGGAAAAGTTAGCATAAATCATGTGCACTGCTGGCATTCCACAAAATCAATTCCTAGGTGAAAATACAGAATGTTTTTCTTAGTTTGGAAATCTATTTTCACTATCAAATATAAAAAAACTGTCAAGGTGTGGGTGTGCATGCCTATAATTCTAGCATTTGGGAGGTGCATTTGGCAGGAGCATTAGGAGTTCAAAGTCATCTTCAGTTACACGGTGAGTTTGAGGGCAGTTTGGGCTTTGTGAGATACATCTCAAAAGGCCAGAAACCAGCATAAAGATTCCCAGGACCACAAAGAATCTGGTGATCAACTTAAATCAATATTTAAAAAACAAACAAGCAAAAAAAACCTGGTCAATCTCTGACACTTGTCTGAGTCTATAAAAACAGACACACACACACATACACACACACACACACACACACATGCATACAAATCTCATTTAATAGGGACTAAGTTATTCTTTAACCCCAGTTATGCAGAAATGCAGCATCTGATGCACCCAGAAGGAGCAAGTGCAAGTTCTGCATGCCGTGACCAGTTTACCGGGTTATCTACTAACAAGCAGGAAAAACCAAATGGCACCTGACTTTTCAGCACTGGGAACCACTGATAACCACAAGAGGTGCCTATCAACCACAGTGCTACAGAGGACAGGTGTGCCGATGCAGGTAAGTCAGCATTTGTAGATGGTAAGCAACAGGTAAACTTTCATGTTTGAAAAAAATTTCAGGCTGAAGAAATGACTCAATGCTGCTCTTGCAGGGGACCTGGAGTTCAGTTCCTAGCAGCTACAAGGCAGCTCACAACCATCTGTAACTCCAGCTCAGGGGACCTGACATCATCATCTCACCACAGGCATGCATGAGGTACACATACAAACACACAGGCAAATACTCATACCCACAAACTAATCTTAATCGTTTTTTAATTGATAAATATTAAAATCCAATCACCACATCTAGGGGAAGTCTATAGGAGTTTCAGAATAAAAACGTAAATGAAAAAAATTTTTTTCTTTTCAGTCTTATCGAGACAGAGGTGATACACAGTCCTGAAAGCCCAGAAGTCACTTTGTAGAAAGGGTAGCCTCAAGTTCAAGGGTGAATGGACCCTCCTGCCCTGACCTCCTGAGTGCTAGGATTGCAGTGCACACTATTACTCTCAGCCTAAAGTGACAAAATGTGAGAGATTCAAGTATCTAACCAAAGGGGCTGCTTTCTTCTTCCCCAGCAGGTGAAACCTGTGATGTTCTGAGTGTTATTTCCCTGAACAGCTCTACATGACGGACTTCCAGTCATGGACTGGTTGATGGGTTTTAAATTTAGAGAAGACAGGGTTGGAAGCTACAGGCCATGCTGGTTTCCATTTCAGCTTCGAAGCAACAGAATGAAACACTGAAGAAATGAGTTTCCAAACAAAACAAAACAACAACTCAACATGTATAGAGACATATACCTTGGAGGCATTTAGTGTATTTGGGAATTCTCATTTGCATTTTTAGACAATGGAGTAACTCTTTTTGCAGGCTGTACTAAAAAAAAACAAGCACACCACTGAAGAAATCAGACTAGGACTTTCTGCATTCATTCGATGTTTCTGGAAGTCAAGGAAAGTAGCAATTAAAAAATAACTCCATCACTGCCTCTTCTTCATGGTCAGCAAGCGTAAAATCATTAAGGGCAGAAGGGCTTACCTGGGGCAGGGCTCCTTCTTGAATTTAAGTTCTGAGAATCCACAATCTCCTCTGTTTGCCCATCTGCTTCTGCCTCTGTTTTGTTCTGAGTTTCGCTTGAATCCTCACTAAGGCAAGTTCTTATGCTCTCTCCCTCTTCAGTGACTCTCTGGACCACAGTGGCAGCAACAGGAGAACGAGCGGTGGTGGCAGAAATGACAGGAGTACAAGGAGGAGAAGTTGGGGGGGTCGGAGGAGCTGGAGAAAAGGAAGTTAGCATGGAAGGGGTCAGAGCAGGTGGGGTGCACTCCACTTTCAATTCTTCCTGGGCATGTTCCAGAATCTCCAATTCAAGAGTCAATGGCAGCACTTCCTGTTTTACCATGTCCACAATGCTTTCCTTGGCTGGTAATTTTTCACCAACACCATTCATTTCACTAATTAGATTAGTACTAGAAATTAGCTGAATGTCTTGAGGTGCTACACTACAGGGTTTCTTGCATGTGTCACTGTCATCTTTTAGTGAAGGGTCTGATGTTACTGTGCAAGATGTGGGGCTGGGTACAGGAAGTGCATCTTCTTCTGAGGAGGAGAGTTCACGCTTGTCCTCTAGAACAGTAGTGAACAGTGGCTGGCTGCTAAGGGCAGCAGAAGTGGGGGAAGGAACTGAGCTCCGGGCAAGAGGAGCGAGGGCGGCAGGTGATGAAGTCCGAGGAGGTTCTGGGGCGCTCTCTCCTGCCGGAGTCTCGGGCACTGGGCCGGCTTGCTCTTTCTTCTCCCCACTAAGGACAAGTCGAAGGACTGTGGAAGGAGACTGGAACACTGGATCTGGTTTTGGTTTTTCTTCTGAGGAAAGAGAAATGAATTTTTAACAACAGTTTTGAATGGCAGACTGTATAGTACTGCCTTAAGTCTCATAAAAACTAAAGTTAACGATTTCCCATTTTTTGAGACAAAATCTTACTAGGTACCCTGTGCTCATGACACCCTTGCTTCAGCCTATGGAATGCTGGGATTACAGGTCATGTGCCATCATATATGGCTAAGTTCAACCATTTTTTAAGGTGAAAACTACTACCTCTTCTATATCTTATTCCCTGTGGCTACTACAGGCACAGTACTGTCTGGGAATGTCAGAATGAAGACAAATAATTAGAAAATAATTGTTATAAAATCCATCTTAATAAGCAACATCAAGAACCTGTGCATCAAAGGTAGTTTCAAAACTAACTTCCATTTCTCAGAAAAGCTTCTAAGCAAAAACAACAGAGGTATGGAAAGAGAGTCATCTGTTTCTTTAAAAGTAAAGCAGCTTCTCAAAAAGAACCAAAGTTAATAACCAAATAAACCAACCTGAGAAAAAGATCACTGGGCATCTCTATGTGAAAAATATTATATAAAAACCAGAATCTGTGTACAGACAAAATAAGATCAAGAAAGTAGGAAATGATAACCATAAAGGTACCACAAGCATAAAATAAAAAGGAGTGCTAACCAAGGTGACTATCTGATGCTAGGTGGAATGACTTGGAAATTGCTGTGAGATGGTAGCTCCAAGCTTGGGCTTCCTTAAACTTCCTCTAAGACAGAGAAAGCTAAGAGACTTTCTTCTCAATGCTGCATTCCACAAATGTGACTACAGGGCAGTGATATTATTTGTGAATGAGAACAGTGCTACCCATGTCAAAAGGGAACACATCACAATGGATCCATAGCTTCGGATTCACTGTATAAGTGATGGGCATTGTAGCTAAGGCAACTACAAGACTCAGTGTTTTCTCATCATTGTAAAGGAGGAGCAATAAGTGCTCACTGCCAAATTTCTCAGATTAAGTTGCCAGGGCAGAAACCAAAAATACATGGGAACCATATGTATTCATTAAACACATGTGTGCCCTCTGTCCATCTTGTTTAACACACATTTATTACATGGTTCTGAGTAACTCCCATTTTGTGAACACTAAAAAGGTACCATGGTCATTTATCAAGTAAAGACCAAGAATGGCAAGCACTCCCTCACCTGATGGACAATCATGCCCGAATGCCAAAAGAACCCCAGCTCCATGAGGGCACAAGTTACCAGTTTCTGAAATGTTCCTGAACGCAAAGGGAACTTCTCCAAAAGTCCTTACAACTGACTGTAGGGAGTGTTGTCCCCTCTATCAATTTACTATACCCTTCCTTGTTTCAAAACACCTGACTGAAGGAAGTATCTCCCTCAGGAAACAAAGCTCCCTGCCCTAGCTATGTGTGCTGTAAAAGATAAAGATTAGTTAATATCCCAATGCATTTCATAGTTTCTCTCTTTAGAAAAAATCCAAGCTATTTTATCTTCATAAAATGCTAAAAAAGGGGGCGGAAACAGTGCATCTGCCTTGACTTGTTAGCCATTCAGCTGCTCATGTAAAAGAATTCTGAGAAGCCAGATTAATAATGGCAGTTGGCATTTATTAAGCACCTAGTAGAAACTGGGTTAAACGGCCTGCATACATTGTTCCTTTCATTTCTTTTTTTCTTCTTGAATTGGTGTTTTGCTTTCTGTGTAAGATCCCCAGGAACTGGAGTCACAGACAGTTGTGAGCTGCCATATGGATGCTGGGAATTGAACCCAGGTCCTCTGGAAGAACAGTCAGTGCTCTTAACCTCTGAGCCATCTCTCCAGCCCTCCCTTCATTTCTTATAACTATTACCAGGAGAGACTACTGTCTGTCCCTGCTCTATAGCAGAGGACACGAAGACTCAGACATTAGTCCTGGTACAGAAGCCATCTAACCAGCAAATGGCTCAAGTCTGATTTGAAAGTCCACATTTTTCCAATCAGGGGTGAAAAAGCTTACGAAAAATAGCAGTTAGATGGCTCAAGCAGGGGGGACGTTCTGTTTACCCCAGTGCAAACCCTCAGCAGTGACATATTCACTGATAATACAGAAATCAATCCATGGGGCACAGCACACAGATCCCTGTCAGGAAGAACAGTGACAGCACAGTCTCCCTGTGCAGCCCCAGGCCTGGGATCTGCCTGCTTCTGCTCAAAGGTATACATCACACACTCGACTTGCAACAACTATTTTAAGTAAGTCAGTGTACTCCTCTACACTTCACCCTAAAGGGAAGCATAAAGAAAAGTATAACCAAAATAGAAGAAAATAAAAACTCTTGACTCCAGTGAGCAAATACTAGTACTAAAAGGTTTATAAGGCTACTGAGGTTGGGGGTGTAGTGCAGTGGGTGGAAAGCTTGCTTAGCACAAACAATTCCTGGGACTGCATCCTCAGCACTACTTGACTTGGGTGAGGCAATGCAGAACTGTAATTTCAGAACCCAGCAGAACATCATGAGTTCAAGGTCATCCTCAGCGACACGGAGATCTAGTGGCCAACCTGGGCTGCAGAAGACCATGCTTCAAAATAAAAAAGAAAACCCACCTAGACTGAAAACTGCTTCACATGTTGGCAATCTGTGAGAATCTGAGTGATTACTCCATATGAAGATTATAGCAGTCAAAAGGAGCTGACCATCAGTACTATAAAATGTCTTAAAACCCAGGACTTTCAGGTAATCTCAAACAATCTTATGACCAAAAAGTTGGTTTCCTCAAATCAAAAGAAGAAGCCTAGGATTCTCCATCTTCCCTTCTTGAAAATGTCAAAAAAAAAATGTATTTTTAAAATTTGAGCGTTCTTCTTCCTAAAACAACTACAAACAATTCTGTTTTCAGGTAGGTTCAATCTATGATTGTCTAGCATGTTACGGAGGTTTCTATAACAGCATAGCTGTGGATGAAGTATACAAGGAGATTTATTTAACAGACTAGTGCACAAAGCAAGCTTAACATGGCCAGCATAATTCTAAAAAGTCTATTACATCTTTTTAAAAACTGCACTGAAATTTTAAGGGAAATTTCAAACTTACTTGTTACTAAGAGTAAAATCAAACGAAATGTCTGCTTCAAATGCATTACCACCAGGTGTGGTAAAACACAGCTACAAAATCCCAGCACCCAAGAGGCAGGAAGATCACAGGGCTGTCATCAGTTTGGTTTATTATATAGCAAATTCCCAAACAGCTCAAGCTTCAAAACTAGACCCTGTGTCAAATTTTGTTTTTTAAATCAATGAAGACCCCCCCAAAAAAAGTTTCCCCCAAACCCACGTTGGTCTCCTAAAATTCAGCACCAAGCTCGCACACATGAACGCTATATAGCTCTTCTGCTGACCAACTTTTGGAAGCGTGCTGCCGAAGGGTTTATTCCTTATCTTTTGGCTTAAAATCTGAAGACAGCTGAAATGCCACTTGTCAACTCTCAAAGGGTATGTATGTCTTGTATTTCACATTATCTTTTCATCTTGTGGGGACATTCTGTAATCCTAGCACTCAGGAGGCAGAGGCATGAGGCGCAGGGTTATAGGCCAGCTTGCTTTGGAGGAAGTTCCAGGCTAGTCCAAGCTACAGTGTGAAGATTCCTTTACACAAACATAAATCAGATATATTTAAGGCTACTTTTCAAACGTTTGAGTGTCGTTTGTGTGAAACAAAACCCTCTTAAAAAGTAAAAATATAAAAATGGAATCATGTTAAAATTAAAAACATCTGCTAAAATATGTTTTAAATTAAGGACCATTCCAAGTATCTTTTAAATGTAATGTTTAAAAAGCAAATTTAGCCGGGCGTTGGTGGCGCACGCCTTTAATCCCAGCACTCGGGAGGCAGAGGCAGGCGGATCTCTGTGAGTTCGAGGCCAGGCTGGACCGACAGCCTCCAAAACAGAGAAACCCGGTCTCGTAAAACCAAAAAAAAAAAAAAAAAAGCAAATTTAAAAGTAACTAGCTTTAGTAGAAGAGACTTGGACGAAAGCAGTTAGCATGTAATGATCTCTACTCACTTGAGAGTGAAGCCAGAAGCAGGAGAGAGCATGATTACTTTACTGCTCCTGGTTCCAAGGTCCCTAATGAAAAGTAGTCCTGAGTATAGCAAAGGGTACAGCTAAAACCATTTGTCAGGGAAGCCAAGACTGCGTATCTCACATTCTAGGGAGAAATTTCCTTTAAGATTCAGGTTTTTACTCCAAAATACATTGTGTTTGTTTTCAACAAGCACCGGGCAGGTCCCACTCCTGGTCTGTACCACAGAGCCTTAGTATGATTCCTGCATCAGCAATAATGGTGATCATTTGCCAAGCAGGTGGGAAAAAAGTCCTCAGAAAAGCCCTGAAGGAAGTGCAAAGTCCAGGTTGAGAGGCCTCAGCAGGACAAGACACTTAGGGCCTGTGTCTGCTTCCAGGGCTCCAGTTCCTAGTTCTCTAATGGGGTTTGGTGCCCTTGACACATGTTATCTTCTTTAAGAAAACGCAACATCCCCAAGGTGAAATATAAACCTGTGCAGTTTTTGTAAAGCAATATATACAGAGAGATATGCTTTAAATAATGTCCCCCACGAAAGCTTTGTTTAAAAAAAAAGAAGAAGAAGAAGCAAACAACAACAGTAGTTGAAGACAGCTAAGCAATTACTAACACATGGATATCAACATTGAGGCAGGTGAAATGTAAGGCCCTTTCCCCCAGTTTTCTGCAAGTGCACTCCGCACCTTAGATCTGCTACAGGGTAGGCATCTAAATAATTCTCAGATTTCTGATGAATACTGAGGGCAAAGTACTTAATAAAGAGACTAAAGGTAGAGGGAGGAAACAGTCATACACAAACCTTGCTTCTGGTCGCTAGCTGCAGTGACAGGGGTGCTGGCAGCGAGATGAGCGCTCTCCACAGTCCCATATATCACAGGGCTGTGCTCGGGGACCTGGCTGGGCAGCTGCTGGGATTTGAAGTACAAAAAAGGGTGATAATGAGCATGGGAACATTAAAAACTAGCAACATGGAACCCAAGCAAGGAGAGACACAAAGGTGCAAGAGTCCACAAAATTAAAAGAAAAGCAGGGTTAGGAGTACACAGGACAACTGAATAAAAGCAGGGGAGAGAAGGACAGAGGCAGCAGGGAGGGGAGGAAAAGAGATGATTACTATTAACCATAGCATGAGAAGACAGCCCAGGCATCCACACATCCACTCCGGTGTTCCTTCCAAGCCCACGCTGACTTCCAGCAGTAATGGCTGCCAAAGTAGGGCAGGATGCCATGCTGGGACAGGATTTAACAACTTCCCACACAGACAAAAAGTTTTGGTCAACTTCACTTATAAAATACCAAGCAAAGCACCTCATCTGCCCAAAGCAGGGCAGACAAAGCACAGGAAGACTTTAAAATCCAGTAACTAATTAAACAAACAAAGCCAAAAGGCCTAGGTTACTCTAACTGCCACTAAGACTTCCAATGAAATTCAATGTGCAAAGGAGCTGACAGCATTTTCACCTTCACGACAGCAGCAGCTCTGTGGAAGCTTCCAAAAACACAATATCCAAGTCATATCTCTGGCTTCTCAGGGCAAGGAAAAACTCTCATTTTACACTAGGCCATTCTCTTGGGCTAAAAAGTGCCTACCAAAATCGGAGCAAGCAGGTGGAAGAAACTATAGTCACTGTGCAACTTAGAGGGAATGGAATTAATGCAAGATAAGACAAACACGCTCATTTGTATCCCACTCTGGGCAAGTGTGCATCTGGACTTGAGGGTTACACAGACAAGCCTCAATAGAAAGCAGTGTCTTTACTAGGGACCTAAGGTCCATTTCTGGTTGCTCATTATCCTGTACTGAGTTCTAAGAGGATTGCCACAGAAGCCCTGCACTGCTCTGTGTGGGGATTGACCAATATAGGATGACTGAGATATGGGTATGTTTAGGTAAACAGGGCCATTTAAGGCTGAACTGTTTACAGTTCAGTATCTGTCTTAAGCGTCTTTAAGTGGAACTGTAAATGGGAAAGATCATTTACAATAGATAAAATATAATAATACTTTCTATACACAGCTGTAGGTGTAGAGGGAATACATGAGAAAGGAGTAATGCTACAATTTTGCACATGTATTAGACAATGAAAGTGTTCATAAACAGCTACATAGATCCATAAATCTCTCTATCACTAAGGATTTTCCACCTAAAATGCACTAAAACAGTATGCATGAAATAAAGTCTTATTCACTTATTTCAAACAGGCTCTTGCTGTATTGCCCAGGTGCCTACGAAGTCCTAAACTCAAGCGGTCCACTTGTCTCAGCCTTTAGAGAGGGCAATAGGTGTCTATACCCTCAGGGTGAACCATTGCTGGGAATCTGATCCCACCACAGCCTCTTGCATGGGCAAGCACTCTAATCCCTAACAGTCCTAGAGACAAGCATCCTAAGAAAGGGAGAGTAGAAGAATGGATCCGGCTCCACGGTGGTGACACATGCCTTTAAGCCTTTAATCCCAGCACTCAGGAGGCAGAGGCAAGCGGATTTCTATGAGTTCGAGACCAAGCCTGGTCTACCAAGCAAGTTCCAGGACAGGCTTCCAAACAATACAGAGAAACCCTGTCTCGAAAAACAAAAAACAACAAAAACAAAAAGAATGGATCACTTAGTAATGTTGTCTGTCACATAAATATAAAGACTGGAATACTCGTGTAAAACCTGGATGTGGTGACATACACCTGTAACCTCAGAGGGAGGGGGATGGCAATGAATGATCAACAGCTTATTCATTGGTCAGCCTGTCTAGGTTAATGTTTCAGTGAGAGACTAAGTCTCAAAAAAATGAGGTGGAGGAAGGCATTCGACCCATGTAAAAAAAAGCATTCCTATAATTCCAGGCCAGGGAGTGAGGTGGGAGGGTGCTGGCCACACTGCTGGATACCTCAAAGCTCACTGGCCATCCAACATACCTAATTCATCAACTTCAGGTTCAATGAAATCATGTTTCAAAAAATTAAAGGCATTCAGGCATGGTGGCATATGCCTTTAATCCCAGCACTTTGGAGGCAGAAGAAGGCGGATCTCTGTGAGTTCAAGGACAGCCTGGTCTATAGAACCAGTTCCAGGACAGCCAAGGCTATTACACAGTAACACACTACCTTGAAACACAGAAACAAAAACAAAAACAAACAAAAAAAGGTGGATAGTGGCACAAATGTTATACGAATAACCAATCATTTTCTTATCGGACTTAAGGTCCATTCGATGGGATGGAACTCATACCTAAAATTGCTAAAGTAGCCAAGAACCTGACACTAGATGGACTACAGGTCCTGTAGGAATATCTACTACTATTATTAAGTGAACAAAGCAATGAAAATGAGTCCTAATAACATATTGCTAGCCCAATAGATTGGTGCTTCCCTTTGCCCTCATCAGAGAAGCTGCTTCTTGCAGCAGATATGAAACATACAAAGACTCACAACTGGAAGATGGGCAGAGAGTGAGAGACTTTGGAGCACTCAGCCCCAAAGAGGATGCCTTCATCAAACTCCCTTCTCTCAGGGCTCAGGGATTTATATGGAAGAAAACTGATAAAGACTATAAGAGCCAGAGGCAGTGGGTGACTCCAAGCAAACTCCAAGGCAGGCCCAACCCATGCCCAGGAGTAGCTGACCCATAAAAATGTATTTCATTGGGGGAGGGAACCCACAGGACTTTTGTTTCAATTATTTTGTCTTATTTGTGTGGGTGACACAGCTCTCATGCACATGCAAGAGAGACGAACAGAGCAAAAGTGAGCACACACACTCAAAGCAAATGGATGAAGTTGGGTGGATGGGGGGAGAGAAGATAGGGGGATTGGAGGGAAGGGAAAGAATATGACCAAAATATATTAAAAATTAATAAAATAAAAAGATGGATACTGATCAAGAGAAGATACCCAATACTATTCTCAGATCTCTGCATAGACTCACACGATGACAACTTGCACAGAGGTGTAGAATACACACTCAGGTTCATACATGCACACTGGCAAGCACACTCATGCACATATGTAGGAGCACAACTGAGATGACATCTTTAGTGAGCAGGAGTTCAGAGTCCAGGTACCCACTGGCAAAGTAGTAAACACGCAGGCTCTGAGCAAATGCTGCCGGTGGCTCAGCTGTGTAATGAAGATGCACTACAGGGTCTGTACCATTTTAAACTTGAAAATTTCATACTTGATAATGTCACAAAAGTGACAGTATTAACATAGCAAATGCTTTAATCTCAGTCAATCACCATGAGCCCAACAGAGAAATCCTCTATCTTCCCAAACCACGAATAATCATGGACTGTTTCACCCAACAAATCATGAAACTTAGAAGTACACTAAATATGGAGACTCTAATATGAGCATCTGGACCCATGTAAAGAAACTAAGTTCCACCAAGAATACATTTATACATTCATAGGATTCCCCAAATCACTTACTTCGGGTAACATTCCCTTTCAGTGGGAATAAAAAAAATTTCTGAAAGGGCAACTTGAATGAAAATATGAATAATAAAGATGACAAAAAGTCACAGTTAAAGATTAGGGTGGCCGGGCACTGGGGGCGCAAGCCTTTAATCCCAGTACTCGGGAGGCAGAGGCAGGCGGATCTCTGTGAGTTCACGGACAGTCTGGTCTACAAAGTTGAGTTCCAGGACAGCCTCCAAAACAATACAGAAAAACCCTGTCTTGAAAAACGGAAGGAAGGAAAGGAGGGAGGGAGGGAGGGAGGGAGGGAGGGAAGGAGGGAGGGAGGGAGGGAGGAGGAAAGGAAGAAAAAAAAGAAATAGCTGGAGGATAAGAAATCAATATGTGGAAACTGTGTAGCTTGGTGCCCATGAATTGCCTGTACTAGAACAAACACTCGGTCATTTACATGCCATGCACAGCTGCCTCTCTGCTGGAATGCTCCTACTGACAGTACCAGAAACATGGCAACAAAGTGAAATATTCACTACAAGTCATGATAGAAAATGTATGCCCACCTTTTTACCAATGAGAAGAAGACAAAGACTCCCAATAGTTATGTAAAAATAAGCAATAAGTAAAAGGCATTCACTGCCAAATTAAGATACCACTTGAACGTCACATATTCTATCTGTTCCGGTTTAACTGATTTTGTAAAAAGCCCATTCAGAAACTTTAGAATAATCCTCATACAAAGTGTCTCACATATTTAACGTATATAGACCCAGAGAATAAATAGGCATGGCTTTCACTGAGAAACACCTAAGCCAAACAGCAAAATAGTAGCACAAGTAAGAAAAAAAGCATGTTTCTTCCACAAGTCAGACAGAATTTCCCACAGTTACTCAGCTGTGTTCACCATGTACAAAACACAGACAGCCTACAGGAAACTAAGAAAAATGCTCCACAAATGTATGGACCCAATATCTGATCAAGGGAAATAAACATCAAGAAAAAAAGCACAAATATAATCAATAGAATTCACCTGGCTATAAAAGTGATATTATTGGAGGGCTAAACAGTTCAAAGACAGGTCAACCGGGGTCTTACTGTATGAGAGGCTGCATCTAAGAAAATAATGTTAGGCTGAGCTGGAGGGGGGCGTGTGAATGGGAGGCACAGGGAGGCCTGCAGGAGGAGGTACAGGAAGAGGAATTTCAGGCAGAAGAGAAGTTTATGTGGAGGCTCTGATTAGAAGATTATGAAGTGAATGGTTTGATGAGGGATGTCCTTCTGTATACTGTGAATACATGTTTCTCTTATTGGCTGATGAAAAAAGCTGTTTCAGCCAATGGACAAGCAGGAGATAACCAGGCAGGAAGATAGGTGGGGCTACCAGACTAGGAGAAGGCTGGGAAGAGAAAACGCAGGATGTGAGGCTGCCTATGAAGAAAGATACTTAGGCATCACCAGTAAGCCAAGACCATGTGGAGATGCATAGATTAATAGAAATGGGGTAGTA